GCCATTGGGAGACTGATTTATAACAGTATGTACAAGAGAATTTAAAGTGAAGGAGAGCAATCTGACTTTTAAATTAGAGTTCTAAGATATTCCCTACAATGCTGCCATTCATTTTTTAACTCAGTACCTTCATGGATGATCTGATGAGATCTATAGGGTTTTAGTAGTCAATGAAGTTGATAGGTATATATTGCAATGAAAAACAGGAAGCTAGGGTCAGTAGAGGAAGAATCAATAAAATACACGTGTACAGACAAATGAGATTGTCAGGAATGTTTTCCTGGCTTGTCAAAGACTGCTGAGGATCTACCATGTAGCCAACTGACAACCCACACAGCTCCTTGGCAGGTGCTACCAAAGAACTGAGGCTGAGGCTTATAAATATTTATATTGTACATAATTTCATTCTATTCCCAAGCTCACTACACAGAAGGCACATGTACCCTGATTTGTCTCTCTTCCACAAGTCCTGAACTGTGAATATGAAACCTGCACTTCATTTTGTCTCCCCTGCCACTCCATCTGTGATGAACCATTAACAGTTTAGTGGGGCTGCCAGCCCTTAAGGCCCTGAGAGAAATTCCATCATACAGCTGAAATTAAGCATAAGTCATCATGTCAAGAAACCACTTAATGCATTTCCCTTTCGGTTTTCAGAGTCTTGTCACTTTTGTCTCAAAATTTTGTATTTAAAAACACGATCTGTCCAGCCTAGATTTCGGGTCTTATGCTAATTCTCTTCCAAAAATACCACATCCAGAACTAATATAAAAGAGAATTTCCCCCCATTTTTTGTGGGAAGACATAAAATCCTGTAGGTGAACAAAATCCAAATTCCAGCTCTACTGGGACCTTAGCTGTACTGTTAAGGCATTGGAGGTGGCCCGTGGATTGTAAATGCTGCTGACTAAAAAGCAGTGCTAGATTTAAACAGTGTGAGTTAACATGCTGACTTTGCCAAATATAGGAGGGAGACTTTGAGAAGGAAAAAAAAATAACAGAAATAAAAAAGCATGAAGAGAAAAAGGAGCGGGCAAAAAAAGGAGGTGCTTTACATGTGATTTTTGTCCTTCAGTAACAGTCATGGAGAAAATTTTTGGAAGTATTGTTTCTAGTTTCTGAACTAGAAACATCCTCTTAAATAGGATGATTACCAGCCCCAAAAGCCTTTAGGGACTCAGATTACTATGCCTTCTGTGTATATTTATCACCTAAATCCCATTACAGAAAAGCAGCAATGAGGCAGGTGGGTACCTCTTTGAACAGAGAATATTTGATGAAAGCAGGAAAGGTGAGCATGGCTTTGGGGGCAAGGGCAGCAACAGCAAGTTCTTTCTTGTGCACTTAGTGGGTGTTTAGGATAGACATTCTGATTTATCTGCCACTGCTGCAAAATGTGGCCTACCTGCCCTTGCTTTCATGCTGACTACAAAGAATTTTCAAAGACACCAATCACACTTAGAAAGGGAGATATTTTGCCTCTGAAAACCCCTTTCTAGATGGTCTTTCCTGGGGTAGTCTGACCTGTCTCTGTAACAACAGGGCAATATGTAATATGTTCTGTCTTTCTAAAGCCAGGGTCATATATCTGAAAAAAGTAAATACACTGAGTTAGGATAGTCTAGGTGTAGATGTATATGATTAGAAATATACAGTCATTTATTAATCATTTATAATTTTTAGTTTATAGAAATTTACACATTTTTGTATTTTTGACAACCAGCAGTGTCAACACTGTGATAAAAAAGTGACTCAGGCAGACACATGGCAACAACCTGGATGCTTTGGGTAAAGCACAATTTTTAAAAGCAGCAGTTTGGAGAAATTGCACTGGCCTTATGTACATGTTGTCCTCTTGATATTAAACCTCGATTGATAAGTTATAGTTCTCTAGTTTAAGTATCTCTACACAGGATTTTAAGTCATTGGTGAATTTATCAGTTGCAATTACAGGTATAAATTATACTAAATGGCAGGCACTCCCACAGGGTGCTGTGTGTGCATGTCTGTGCACAGGTAGCAGTACAGGGCTACCACGATGTGAGAATATGTGAGCCATGCTCCAGTTACAGAACTGTTGGTGAAACGTGAGTGCCTCTGGAGACCATCGTCCACAATTCCACGTGTTGTCATAGAGAGATGAGTTCTAGGGCACTCCCACGGTGAATTCTGGGGAAAAATGTGTCTCACAGTTTAATTTTCATGGCAGGGAAACAGATTATTAAATCCACGAGCAAGCAGCACCAGTGAACTAACCTTAATTTGAAGAACCTTCACATCTTGCCTAGAGGAGTTTGTGCCTTACTGGGTTAGGGGAAGGAGCTATGACATTTCTAGTCAACATACTTTAAGAGGGAAAAAAAGCAAAATAAAAACCCAACAACAACAAAAATAATCTGCAAAATTCAGTTTCTCCAGCATATCTGTCTTCAGGCTAAGAATTACTATTATTCTATTGTAAAAGTTTGAAGGAAATAGCATCCATCATTATCAGTGTGTTGATGCTTCATAGCTCTTCTTTTCATGACCAGCCACTTTAAGGACTGGTAATAAGTGTTTCCTACTGTGTAAATAATTTTAATCTATTAGATTAACTAGCTTCTTAATGTTCATATAAGAGGTTAAGATTTTTCCTTGACCTGTTTCAAACTGCAAATAGGTACAGAATTCACAGAAATTATTCAAATATTTCATCTTCATGATCACCTTTAGTGTTTTGACACAGCATAGGCTCAGTCTGCAGCATGTTTTCCCTGTATTAAATTTTTTTTTTTTATTTTAGCTCATGAAAAATCACATTGAAAGCTGCAGTACTGATCAGGAGATCATTACAGCAGTAGCTGCAGAATAAACTAACTGCTGCCACTGGGAATGAAAACTTCCATGCTGTTTTCTCATACTGTGAGAGAATAAACCAATCCCCTCACCTCTGCCCTGACCATAGTGTCAAAATTTTAAATTAGCTGCAAGAAGTGAGTATAGAGCTATGCTGTTCTCCTCAGTTGCTCACACCTCTGATATTACTTTCTCCTATATATATTATTTTGGTTTTGACCTTAATCATATTACTGCAAAGCCCATATGGCTTGCATTGAATTCCATGAGCTTTTTGTGTGTTAAAAGTAGCAGAATTGTCTATTTACTCAAGGCTTTTAGCTTCAAACCATTTAAAAATAATACATCCCTTTATGGTTTTTAAAGCATTGTATACATCATCAGTAATTACATGGGTGTGGACCTATGCAATTATATAAGTGTATAGTAAGCTTTGCAAATCTTTACTCAAACAAGCAAGATAGCTGTAGATATTTCTGCATCATGTCTATACTAGAAGAATTCCTAATAAAAAAAATCTTTCTGATAAAAAGATTTCTTTCATGGTCAGGTAGATACAGTAGAGGCATATTTTGATACAGCAGACACTGCCAGCTGAGACAGCAAGCTACCCATTTAAAGGCTCAGGTTTGGTGCTCAAATTAAAAATAGGAAATTTGAGATCCCATCAGATCACAAATTGCATTTTATTTTATACATTTATCTGCACTATGTTCTGAGCTGATGCTATGGGATAAAAGTGAATTCATTCTCATTATTTGTATTAAAAGGTTTAGACATTTCCTGAGATAGTCATTTAGGTCCACCTGACCTTGAGCTGAAACTGGGTTGTTCTGTGTATTCACCAGAGCTGCTGCTCACTCAGAGGCAGAATTTGTCTGCTGAAAGTTGGTTGATTTTTTCAGGCTGTGGCTGAGTCATCCCTGGTTTTTCTCATTTCTTTTAAATTTCCTTCAATGTTTTACTCATACACAAACTGATATTTTTCGCTTTTATTTACAAAGTTTAATATCCTTAAAGCTTCTTGCTTGCTGTTCCCAAATACAAGCACATACCTAAGATGGCTTGGGAACTGTTCTATGTCATGTCTCCAACACCAGGATTCAGTGCAATGGCAGCAGGGGGGATAACCAAAGATTATCCTGGTGCCTGTGCCCTTAGCACAGGACCTGTCAGTTGTGTCTTTCTTCTCTTGCCCCATCTGTTTTGCACTCTGGCTGTTGTGGCAAGAGCCATCATAGAGCAGTGTTTGTGTTTCCGTGCACGCAGTTGAGATGAGAAGTGCAGGAGTTGCATAATGTGCCAGCCAAGCTCTGCCTATCTCAGGAACATAAATCAGGTACTGAGCTGTTTTACAGGTGTTAAGTCTGCCATTTGCAGCAAATATCCTCCCAGAGAATGCTTGCTCATATCACCCATTTTTTATAAGATGGTTGGTTTGGCCTCAAAGGAAGATACTCCAACAGCTTCCATCACAGTAAATAAGGGTGATGACGTTCAGCTGCTTTATAGCATATGAACATTAGCTATTCAGCCAAAATAGTCTTTAAAACTATAAATAATAGTTATATTCTATATACGTAGAGTGCCATGTACTAAAGAGAGACTGACTACACATCATGGTTGATATTTTACTACTCAGAAAAGGCAAAAGTACCAGACTGGTTATCACAACTGCCGAATTCATTATATGGGAAAGCTCAGCCATGGAATTAGAAGTCTGCCAGAAAGGACAACAAAAGATATCTTTGAGATTTTATTTTGGTTTGGTTTTGTTTTCCATCTTAAAAATCCAAAAGGAAATAGACTTAAATTCTTTAAAATATTTTAACATTAAAATTTTTACACACCTTCTTTTACTTTCTGTTGTTTCAAATTAATAATCTGACACATCTCTTTTAGATGATTTAAGGTGGGTTGTAAGAATATTACAAGAGATGCACACAGACAAACAAATCCCCTGTATTGGAAAGATGCTGGAAAGATACAAAGACAAAACAATTTTGTTGTCCTGTTCAAAAATTCTGGTTGCCCTTTGCGATTCATGGTGGCTGCAATCTGTTTGGCCTTTTCCCATCAGCATTCTGCTCTAATGATGAACTCTGCAGCATGTACAGAAATTGTTCTCAAGCCTCTGTTAACAGTCCTGATGATATATTTTTTAGGTTTCCTCTACGCTCAGAACAGTACCAAACGCAGCATTAAAGAGCGACTTATGAAGCTCTTGCCCTGCTCGGCTGCCAAAACGACATCTCCTGTTACTCAAAGCAAGTTTTATTTTTCATTTTTTTCATTTGATTTTTACTTTTTTTTTTTTGGGTTTGCATGCATCAAAAATTATACTTTCATTAACTGGTCACTTGAGAGCCGAGATATCTGCTGAAGGAATCATATGGTTTATTGAGGTTTAAATGTAGCCATGCAGATTTGTCTATGCAGAGTAGGATGGCAAGAGACCAGTGCCAGAGTCTGCCACCCAGGAGATTGGCAATTGCAGCAGAGGGGATAGCCAAAGATTATCACTTGGCGCTTATGACCTGCAAGTTAGTTGACAAGTGATTCCATGGTTAAATTTAATATCTGCTCTCCATGTATTTGAAAAGTGGTAACTTTTTGGCATTTTTATGCACGTGACTGTGTGTGCTTGCTATCCAATACACAGGGGGTACCATCATAACTGCTCTGGGAGGAAAGGATTGACCCTGCAGGTTTTGAATATAGAACTTCAAACTATTTAGGGAACAGGACTTAAAGTTGGTGTCTGAGAGAAAAAGAAATATTGAGATTGAAAAGAATGTGAATGTGGATATACAGGAAAAACACACTGATACTATACTGAATGTCTGGATAAAATCTCTCCAGAACAGGTAAATATAAACAGATAAATATAGAGGGGCAGCAGGAGTGAGAGTGAGATCAATACATAGATACATATATATTCCCAGATAGAGATTAATTATAGTAATAACACTACAATGTCTTCCTATATAAATAGACTCCTATAGCAGATTTTAAAATATCTCTCTGGATCAAATTCAATCTAGCTTAATTTGACTGAATTGTAGGCACTAATATGAGCACCTAAAACCAGAAGCTGAATTGTCTATGTATTTCCTGTATACTCTTCTAATAAAGAATATCAATCAATCTCAGGGGAAAAAAAAGGCCTGCAAGAGCAGTTCCCCATGTCTAGTGAATCTAGGACAACCAGAGGCAACTTGACTAGAGATACAGCCCCCTACTAATGTCAAGACTACACAGGTATAGATCTAGGGTTTCTTTATGCTATCCCCCTTCACTGTCTTTCATATGCTCCATTGTAGAGAAAACTCTGGTGTTTGCATTCCTCTTAAGTATTTGAGATGAAAAGGGCTAAATTTCTGGATGTACACTGATTTATTTATCTCATGGTGTCTTCAGCTGATATGTTTTAATTGAAAATAAGGTAGCTTAAAAACTGCAATTACTTTTGGGGCACTTGTTAATAACTCTTTCTGGATAAGTTACTTTCAGCTGCATGACCTGAACAATATAGCCCTAGACAACAAAAGGAATCAGAGAATCATAGGTTTGCTTGAGTTGGGAGAGATACCTTTAAAATCATCTAGTCTAGTCCTCCTGCACAAGACCAGGTTGCTCTAAGTCCCATCCAAACTGAACAATTCCAGGGATGGGGAATGGAATAGATAAGGAAATAGAATTAATAGAAAGTTTGATCTGTTTGTTTGAAGTTGCTGGAAGAGTGACACATCCTAATTCCTTGCACATTTCTATGTAAACTCTTCATCTGCACAGGTAACCAAATATATTTAGAGTCAGTCTCAGAAACCTTGATCATGTCAAACTTATATTTTCCTTAGTGAAAGTATTCTACAAACCAGAAGAGAGGTTGAACTAAAATGAGTATCAAATATTTCCTATTTGAGAACCAGCAGTAAAAAAGGTGCATTCAATAGTTTTCTCTGCAATCTCCTCCATAAATAAGTGCTGCATTAAGTAAGAATGTTATATCAAGTGAAAATCTTGAATAAGATTATCATTGTAGATATATTATTCTATCACCATTATTATTCTATTTTAACATCCTGTGCTATTTAATTTCTGCTTGCATGAAAGAAGCAACATTATATTGTCCTAAGAATGAAAGCATTACCACTTGCAATAACAATCACATGATGTGAATTCCTTAGAAATTATCAGGGAAATATTTTTAACAAGTAATTTATTGAAATATACATAGCCTGAATTTGCATTTCTGCACTTCTATCAGTATGTGCTTACAAAAGTTATCTATAAATGTAAAATCTTGTTTCAGCATTTGTATTGAACATATTTCAGCATTCCTATTGAAAAAAGCATGTAAAAACACTTCCTTGTGTGCTCTAGTCTATTCAGACTGAACTGAAAGCCATCATTTCCTAGATATGTGCATGTGCTAGTACACTAGGGTAGGACTACACTCAGTGGTTTTGAAAAATAAAAACATGCTAAATAGTTATTAAATAGTTAGGGAGGCTATAATGTGGAGTTTTTGCAGGGAAATGCATGTGCACAATTTTTACAGATATATAAAGAGTACAGATATATAGAGTACATTTGCTTTTTGCTGTGTTTTTACCATCTTTAACAAATAATGAAAGGTTCAAAGCATATCTCCTATGACATTTACATTAAAAATGTCTTTACTATTTAGTAATAAGAAAATTCCTAATGAATTTAATCAGTAACAATATTTTGTTTAATACATTAATGAGGGATTGTGAACTTGTTTCTGGTTTTCAATTGACATGAAATTTTATTTCTATGGAAAAAAAGTATTCCTAACTGATCTTGGCTGAATAAACCAAGGAACCAAAATAACTAATGCCATAGAAATCATTATTGTTTAGAAACAGATAAAAATAGAAATATTAAAAATAGATTTTCACACACTTTCCCACATATTTTTAAGTACAGATTTTTCTTTTCCAGCCTGGTATCTAGAGCTGTGAAGAAAAAAATTAAAAACAAAATGCCTCGTGAATGCTATAGCATTTTAGTCATCACAGTTGGTTGATTTTAAGGAAGTTTATGATGATTTTGCATTTTTATTATTTATAGCTATAAGACACTAGAGAAGTTGAGTGTAAAGAATGTTATACTGAACCTTTTCATTAACATAATCAGCCTATTGCAGTCTTCTACATGCTCACTGAAACATTTAAATGCAATAAAAATGTTTACTGCTAAGGATATACCAAATATTGTGCTCAGCACATTGTCTGGCTTTTATCTCTAGCCTCACATTTATTATGTGTATTCATTTAGCTTCCAGAAAAGCTTGTAGATGTCTCTCTAGGTAGGCAGATGTTTTACAAATGGGTGCTTAGAGAACTCATTTGAAGTTAAGTCTTTTTCTGTCTAAAAACAAAACCCATTTAAATCCCATGTAACCATTCAAATGTAAAATACAAGTGAGCTTTCAACAATATTTATTCTCAGGCTGATTTTTTTTGCCAATTTAGTCTAAGTACCTAGTGTTGAGTTGTCGTTATCAAAAAAAATCATCTGGATCACACTGAGATCATCCTCGTGAGAAGAGTCCTAATAGCATCATATTTTTCACAGGAGAAAGGACAAAGACCTTGTGAAGGGGCTTTGCGAAGTTTTCCAAATAGTTTATACATTATTAAATATCTCTTTAAAGAGAGATATTTAATAATATATAAACTATTTGGTTGTTTATTTTTTGTTTAGCTGAGCTGTATCTTCTGATGCCAAATTTCTCCCAAGCAGCTGAAAGATATTATTTCTGCATTATAGCAGAACAAAAATATATGAAACTGTAGGCATAATACTACTGTAGTTGAGTATTCTAATACTATGTGCTTATGAATATTGAACCAAATGAAACTTTATTCTAAGAAAAGACTCCCACATTCTAATGAAATAGAATATGTATATTCAACATTGTAGAAATGACAATTAGGCATTTGTACTGTTATATTGCAATAGTTCCTATAACTCCTAAATCAAAATAAGGCAGTAATTTCATTTCATTATCTGGATAAGTTATGCTTAAGGCTGTCAGTACTTAGAAATGGACACACACATTTTTGTTTTGATCACAGGGGACTGGCACTCTACTGTTAAAATTCCTTTAGGTGTTACATTGAACTTTCACATTTAAAACTCTACCTAGGAAAAAATGCATTGCTAATCCTCATTTTTTTAAATCTACACTTAACTGTAAACCTTGAATGTGTATATCCACATTCTTACTTACCTAAAGAAGAGGTCACTAAAACTATCTTGTTTGCCACTAAGGCTGCTCACCCTCAATAATATTTCTCCTAAGGGGTCAATTGTATGATACTCAAAGTAAGACCTGCTGCTGGATGTGCAACATCAATTTCACATGCTTTCCAGAAGACAACTTCACAATAAAAATCCAAGCCTAATACAATCAATTCACATCCATTATCTAACTGAAGGAAAATTTTCAGTTTTCTGGAGTTGCTAAAGTTTTATAGAATTGTTTCCTTTGGTCGAAGGGTTGTACAAACAAAAAAGTCATACTGAATGTATCATGCATGCTCTTGCAGGATGTTGGCTTTCCAGTTTATTGTTGTTATTACTCATGAGATAATAAGCAGGCTACTGGATCATCACTGCTGTTCACTATTCTTTGCAGCCACAGAAGCAGATGATAGGCACCCTTTTCCTCTGAGCTCAAAATGGAATCACCATTTGTCATTAAAGCTGCAAAAACAAGTCTTTAAGAGAATATCCTTCCTTCCTTCCTTCCTTCCTTCCTTCCTTCCTTCCTTCCTTCC